TCCGTACTTTGGCAGCATGTCAATATATGTGCATACTTAGGCAACATGTCATACTATGTACGTAGTTTGGCAGCATGTCACTGTATGTGCGTACTTAGGCAACATGTCATACAATGTACGTAGTTTGGCAGCATGTCACTGTATGTGCGTACTTAGCCAACATGTCATATTATGTACGTACTTTGGAAGCATGTCACTGCATGTGCGTACTTAGGCAACATGTCACTGTATGTGCGTACTTAGGCAACATGTCATACTATGTACGTAGTTTGGCAGCATGTCACTGTATGTGCGTACTTAGGTAACATGTCATATTATGTACGTACTTTGGCAGCATGTCACTGTATGTGCGTACTTAGGTAACGTGTCATAATATGTACGTACTTTGGCAGCATGTCACTATATGTGCATACTTAGGCAACATGTCATACTATGTACGTAGTTTGGCAGCATGTCACTGTATGTGCGTACTTAGGCAACATGTCATACAATGTACGTAGTTTGGCAGCATGTCACTGTATGTGCGTACTTAGGCAACATGTCATATTATGTACGTACTTTGGAAGCATGTCACTGTATGTGCGTACTTAGGCAACATGTCACTGTATGTGCGTACTTAGGCAACATGTCATATTATGTACGTACTTTGGCAACATGTCACTTTATGTGCGTACTTAGGTAACATGTCACTGTATGTGCGTACTTAGGTAACGTGTCATAATATTACGTACTTTGGCAGCATGTCACTATATGTGCATACTTAGGTAACACGTCATATTATGTCCGTACTTTGGCAGCATGTCACTGTATGTGCGTACTTGAAAAACATGCCATACTATGTACGTAGTTTGGCAGCATGTCACTGTATGTGCGTACTTATCTAACATGTCATATTATGTACGTACTTTGGCAGCATGTCACTGTATTGCGTACTTAGGTAATATGTCATATTATGTACAATGTACGTACTTTGGCAACATGTAACTGTATGTGCGTACTTAGGTAACATGTCATATTATGTACGTACTTTGGCAGCATGTCACTGTATGTGCGTACTTAGGTAACGTGTCATAATATGTACATGTACGTAGTTTGGCAGCATGTCACTATATGTGCATACTTAGGCAACATGTCATACTATGTACGTAGTTTGGCAGCATGTCACTGTATGTGCGTACTTAGGCAACATGTCATACAATGTACATAGTTTGGCAGCATGTCAATATATGTGCATACTTAGGCAACATGTCATACTATGTACGTAGTTTGGCAGCATGTCACTGTATGTGCGTACTTAGGCAACATGTCATACAATGTACGTAGTTTGGCAGCATGTCACTGTATGTGCGTACTTAGCCAACATGTCATATTATGTACGTACTTTGGAAGCATGTCACTGCATGTGCGTACTTAGGCAACATGTCACTGTATGTGCGTACTTAGGCAACATGTCATATTATGTACGTACTTTGGCAACATGTCACTTTATGTGCGTACTTAGGTAACATGTCATACTATGTACGTACTTTGGCACCATGTCACTGTATGTGCGTACTTAGGTAACGTGTCATACTATGTACGTACTTTGGCACCATGTCACTGTATGTGCGTACTTAGGTAACGTGTCATAATATGTACGTACTTTGGCAGCATGTCACTATATGTGCATACTTAGGTAACACGTCATATTATG